GGAGGAGCCAGCGAGGAGTTTGGCCCACAGCAGATGCTCAGGCAAAGTCCTCAACAGCTCAGTAGGGCTTTTGTATGCTGGGCACAGGTGCATAGGAGGCCATCTGGAGCTCACTCCAGGGGAGATGAAGGCATCTAGGAGCTGGGTTCTCAGCAGTTGCGTGAGACGTGGAGCATGTGTCGGTTCTGCCCTTGCTGGCTTTGGAGAATGTCAGAAGGATGTCTCCTGAACTAACCACCTTGTTTTGTTTCTCTCTTCCTGCCTGAGGCCTAACACAGCCTGCAACTCAGGGCAGCTTCTGTATCATACCCCTGAGCCCAGGCATAGGTGTCTTTAGAGCAAAACAGGCTTGGAGACTGCCTACATGGCTTCTGAACTCCCACAGTTAGGAGCCAAGCAGCTGGAAAACAAACCCATTTGTCTACCATATGTTGAGCAGCTGTCATGAGTCAAATTCCAAGGAGAATAGATCAGATGCATGGTCCCTGCCTTATACACTGTCCTCTTAAAGGGAGACAAATGCTTTTGCACAAGTCCAACAGGTGCCATGAGCTCATGAAAGGAGCCAAGGGTTTGTTGGTGAGGTGGGCAGACACCACAGAGGAAGGCTTTCAGAGTGTAGCACAGACACACACGTAGTCTGGTGGGAAGGGTGCAGGCTAGGCAGGAGAAAGACCTGGCTACAGCCCTCACACCATCTGAGGGGCTGAGTGTGCCAGGTATCTCCGCGTACCTCTCTGAATCCCCATCCACCCTCCTCTACCCTGCTCAGGCCCCTGGAGGTTGACTTCTATGCTCTGCTCTGTGGCTTCTTATTGGTGGGACCAAAACAACATCCGGACATCTGGAAGAGGGGATGAGGGGAATGGCTGAGGAATATATGCTCCTGGCTCCCTTCCTGCTGCTTCCTGGTTTGGCATTGCCCAAGTCCCTCTTCCAAGGCTCCTGTTGGTAACACTTCTCTCACAGCTACAGTTCTTACCAGTTCCAGGAACCGCATCTCCCCTTGGCCCCTAAGGTCTGGGGTAGAAACAGCTTCCCGCAGGCTCTGGTCCCTGAGTGTCTCCTTCTCCCTCCCTCCCGGTTCCTCAGTCCTGCTTGCACCTCTGGGGAGAGTCCTCTCTGGAAACACTGCTCAGTTTCCCTGTTTGACTGTCCCCTTAAGCCATGACCACCAAATCTAACACTTCCCAGCTTTATGACCTTGGGCTAATAGTAATAATTACTCTGTATAACTATAACCATAGGTCATCATAGATACAGGACACTTACACGGAGCCAGAATGTGTTAAGGGCTTTTGTTTACCTAATCCTCACAACAATCTTGTAACTGGTATTCTACTGTTTCCCCACTATTTAGATGCAAGTAAGTTATCAGCTGGTAAGTGAGGAGTCGCTATTTGAACCAAAGCGGTCTAGTTCCAGAGCTCTGCTCTTACCAGTCATTTCTGGGAGCTACAGCACCCCCTCTGTTTTGGAAGCTCTGAGGGAGTTGCAGGGAGAGTATCTCAGAGGAAATGTACACAAGCTGGTAGACAGAGGACATCGAGGCTTGGTGAAAGGCAGGACTAGAGACAGAAAGCAGACAGCATGCGCAAGGAGGTAAGAGTCACAAGAACTGTAGTCACTAAGAAGAAAGAGTAAAGAGAGAAGGGTCTGGGGACAGTCCAGGGAAACAGGGACACCAAGAAGAAAAAGTGAACACTCAGGCTGGATTGGGAAAAAAAGGGAAAGGGTGCTTTTCCATCCCACCTGCCTGCCAGGCACAGCACCGGGTGATGTCATTAAATTAGGAACACTCCAACAACATTCAAGCTAAGGAAGGTAGTGTCGATCCCATTTCATTTCATAAATGAGGAAACTGAAGTTCAGAGTGGTTAAGGAAAGCATCTAAAAATTCAGTCCTGCGTGGCAGAGCCATAATCAAATCCAGGTTCATCTGATCCACAGCCTCTTCTGGGAGAATGACAGAAGTAAGGGCACTTAAAACAGAGGAAGGAAGGGATTTGAGAAAAGAGGGAATTTAAATGATGTCAACAGTGATCACAGTTGATTTTAGCAGCATCTAAGGGAGGCACATCTTCTCACTCCCTTTGCTCACCAGTCACAGTAAATGATCCCTAATTCAGGATGCGTTTTTTTCAACCAAGGTAGTACTCTTCCCAGCGTTCTTCCGCTGTCTGCAGTTTGATTTTGCTCCCATTCCAGACATGACTCATCTGTTCTCTTACCTCTGGACTTCCTCTTGTTAAACACAGACTGCCAGATGATGGTCAGGGTGAAGAGCAGGACGCTGAGAATGCCCACACAGCACACAAGCACGGCATACACATACAGATCTGAAAGGCAGGGGCATGGTGGGTGAGTGTCAGGAAAGCCCACATCAGAAGAGATGCACCAAACAAAGGAAATGGCACGCATTGTACAGAAATCAACTCCATGTGAGCTGCAAACCTAAGTACAAAATATAAACTAGACAACTTTCGGAAACAACACAGGAGAAAAATCTTTAGGATCTAGGTCTAAGCAGAGAATTTTTAGAATTGACATGAAAAGCACCATCCAAAATGGCAAAGTTGATAAATTTGATTTCATCAAATTAATTTTTTTTGCTCTGTAAATACTCACATGAATAGGATAAAAAGACAAGCTACATACTGGGAGAAACTATTTGCAAATCATAAATCAAACAAAGACTAGTATCTAGAATATAAAGAATCCTGAACAGTAAAAAAAT